TCAGGATTGACTCAGAATTAGTAGCTTGGAAAAGCCACCAGTGTCTGTAAACAAAATAACCATAGATAAAGATGTCACTCAGACCTTGCTCAAGGGCTTTCCAGAAAGGTGAACCAAGCCAGATACAGAATCAGATTAACAGTGTTGGTTTCATGTTGAATGTAGCTGCTATTAACTCAAAAGAGAAAGAGCTAATAATAGTCAGGATACTATTCAGACAAAGCCTTTGGCTGTGGTTTCTGTCACACGCAACTCTGGAACCAAATGGACCAGAAGTCTTCTGTGTTTGAACAAATTATTTTGCCAAAAATTGAAATACTTGGCCCACGAATGGCTGTGATTATTGGACCACTGAACACCTTTTGAGATCCAAATTCTCTATCAGCTGAGAAACTCATGCTGTATTCAGCTCAAAACCCAGGATTCTTGGTCTACCCTCACATCTACTGAAGAAGAGATGTACACTTCCCAACATGATGCAGATGTGACCCAGAGCATTATGGGAAGGGAATAACTTCCCAAAGGGCAAAGTCTGGGAAACAGAAAGATAGAAAGAAGGGTAGAAAGATAAGGCATTCTCTTCTGTAACAGAGACAAATTTATCAACAAACTTACCAATTATCAGAGAAGAAACTGGAATTTTTGCTCAGAATGGTTTTAGCATTTTGACAAATGGCTGTGAGTATTTATCATTGATCTTTACCAACTAGTAATTTGCATATAATTCACAATAAAGGACCAAACAAATAATGAAATATTAGTTTCCCTAAGGCATTCCTAATCAAATTCATATAATAGAAGAATCTTATTGTCTATTTGTGAAATAGGCAAAATTTTAAATGTGAAAGCATTAGGATTCATTAAGGGGTGGATGTAGATTTATCAGCCCACTCTTAAAGGGTGCTTAGGTTGTTTTAATCCCTGCAGAGTGGTCTCTGTTTAAACACATACATAAACCATCAAACTGTCAGACACAAGTAATAATCTAAAGTCAAAGTATTAGAGTGAGTACCAAGAGAGAGGAAGACGGGCCTTCTCAAGCAAGGTAATGTATTTCCAAGCTGATACACTGGTGTTCTTTTCAAGTGATATATTGGCATATCTGTGCAATATTTACTACTTAGGAAGGGCAGAAAGACCCAGATGGTCACTGTCAGAAGGGGTCAACCTCATTTCTACCTGATACCAATGGAGAATGCTTAGCTTAGTCAGATAGAAATCCTGGTTATCTGTGTCTTGATAAGAGCCATTTAGAGACCCACTGCATTGAATCAAGCACAAGCCTTAGTGTGTACATATAGCTGTCCTGTGTAGCTAGCTGTCTTGGAACTCACCCTGTAGACCAGGCTGGCCTCAAACTCATAGATCCACCTGCCTCTGCTACCTGAATGCTGAGATTAAAGTGGCATCTGTCACTACCACCACCTGGCTTAAAATAGGTAATTTACAAACACAAGAGTTTTAAGTACTTCATAACCCTGGAGATTCAAGAGCATGGTGCAGATATCCTCAGCTGTGGTAGAGGGCTTCATGGCAGAGGTCTTCAGAAAAGGGGAAACATGGAAAAAGGAAGTAAGAGACAGAGGAGACCCCAAGCTCATCCTTTTTTTCTAATAGCCCACTCTAGTGATTAGCTACTTGATACCAATATGATCCCTGTCTGAGGGCAGTACCATCATGATCTAATTATCTTCATTAGGCTCCATCTTTGAAGGTTTTCATAGTCTCCACACCTACACACTGAAGACTAAGCATTCAGTACACAACACAAGGAAAGCCAGCATATTCATTTACATATCATTGTATATCTGTATTTCCTTCTATAGATTATTATGCTACCATAAAGTAAAACAATAAAATACACATTAATACTGTGACTCGTATTTCTCTACAAAACTGCCTAGGGCAAAAAATTAGATAGGACTACACTGAGGAAGATCACCTTTCTTAATAAAATAGAGATCGGAGACTAGTCAACATTGGCAGTACATCACGTGAACCCAGGTAGTGTGGCTCCAATATGTATTCTGCCAATTTCTACATGGACACGAATGATCCCAGTGAATTTAAACACTTCTGCCTGTTAATAAAAACGTCTGCTCTGCTCTGAATTAGAGTTTGGAGGAGGTTTCCTGGAGAGAAAATATAGAGTGTGATTCAGAGAAGTTGAAGGATGAGAGTCTTCTTGCACTATGATCCTTTTAACCTACCAGTATCCAGCAGGTACCACTGACTTTCTCCATAGCTCTGTCAGGACGAGACGGGAAATCTCTGGGTACATCAAGACATTCTGAGAACATCAGCAATAAATTCTCACGGTTTCTGTCTCAGAGACAGTACAAACATCAGAACTGCTCAGAGGTTGGGGATGTGGTTTAAAGTGGAAACAGTATCAGTTCACCAGCAGAGTTATTGGAAAGGAAAACTTTATACATTTTTAATATAGTTGCACAAGATGGCTTGTCATTAGCTAATCATAACACCTACTTGAAATATGATCATCAATCCCCGCTTCCTCTTTTTATGGTTCTGACTGGAGGGGTCTTGAGCTGAGTCTGGAGAACTGAAACTAAAAAGTGGAAGTTCTTAGGACATAGTGTCTGCTTAACCTTGTCAGTGAGTGTTTCTCAGGAGAGTTTCAAACTTGCACTTATTTAGGTAGATGCAAACTTAACAGTTGTAGTTTCAAATACAATACAACAGATGGCAGTATTGTCCTCAAAAAATAAAATCTCCCACAGACCCTCCAGATGTTCTCCAGGGCACCTTAGGGTGCAGCAGTGCAGTTTTTGAACTATAGCCCAATGGTAACATCCTTCTGGAACAAAGAGCACCTAAGTAAAATACCTAAATGGGCTCTGTGCAGCAAAATGAAGAGTGAGTTTCAGAAATTTTGTGGCTTTTAAATCATTTGCTGCTGTTTTTATATGATTATTATTGCTTATAGAGTAGGCATACCAGACATTTTTCTAAACAGTGGTAAAGGCCAAATACTTGAAGCTTTGTAGGGGCACAGATGGTCTGTCTATATTAAATAGTCTTTCTTTCTGTTGGAATTCTTTAGGACGTGAAAAATCCTTATCTCTCAAATTCAATGCACAGGCTGTAGGCTGCTAGTGACTGTTCTAGTTAAAAGCTCAGAGTAACACACTCAAGTGCTGTTCAGCATGGAGGTTTCTGCTAGGCTAGAGTCAGTTTTGTCAGATTTCGTCTGTTTTGCTTCTAAGAATGCAACTGAGCATGAAACACCTGTAGGGTCTTGATCGCAAAACTACTGTAAATGATGCAGTTTTACCTTAAATTATTTAAGGAGATTTGCAAACAATTCCAGCTTAATAAAGAATCCCTGTTAAATTTCCAAGGAGAGCAATTCTTGCACAAAAGATTTTCTCACTTTTTAGGCTAATGAGATCCCATACTTAATTACAATCTTTAACTCTGATTACATTCAATAATTTTATAGAATATATCATTTGAGATTTCTAGCTTTTTCTTCCTAAATTAATGATGCGGTCTTAAAGCTAGATGCTGTGCTTATTCCTTAGATTTTTATATCAGCTATTTTAAACACAGAAATAAGGTGGTGGTGGTGGTACATGCCTTTAATACCAGCACTTAGGAGGCAGAGGCAGGCAAATTTCTGAGTTTGAGGCCAGCCTGGTCCAGAGCTACATAGAGAAACCCTGTCTTGAAAAAACAAAACCAAAAAACAAACCCAAAAAGCCCCCCAAACAAACAACAACAGAAAACCAAAACAAAACCACAAAGAAACAAGTCCAGCCCTTTCTGGTATTCATAAAATAAACACCACTGGTTATGGTAGTTTTGAGATCATATCATTTCTTAGGCAAGTTACAATGTCTTATTTTTTTAATATTTTATTTATTTATTTATTTATTTATTTATTTATTTATTTAGAGTCAGGGTTTCATTAAGTAGCCTTGGCTGGCCTGCAACTCTCTATGTAGACCGCACTGGCACTGAAGCATCCAGATCTGTCTTCCTCTGCCTCCCACATGCTTGGCCAGAACCTAGTTTAAAATATACTTTTAAAGTGCACTATTATTATAGCCTTCCAGATAAAAAAAATTTCCTGTGGGTTCTACCAAGCTTTAAAATGCCCTTTGTTTTTATAAACATCTTTAAAGGATTGCTGGTCACATTTTGTTTGTTTGTTTGTTTGTTTGTTTTTTGAGACAGGGTTTCTCTGTGCAGCCTTGGCTGTCCTGGATCTCACTCTGTAGACCAGGCTGGCCTCTAACTCAGAAATCCGCCTGCCTCTGCCTCCCAAGTGCTGGGATTAAAGGCGTGCACCACCCCTGCCCGGCTGACATTTTATAATTGGTTCATGATCAATTTGGTTCATTCTGTTTTACAAAGACTGGAATAGTCACAAAGGGACAGTTTGCCTGCTATGGCCAAACATAGTGGGATACAATTACATTTTATGCAACCCAGTGTGCTTAACCACTACTCGTAAGTTATCAGCTGCAGCCTCATCACCAGTTTTTCTTGAGTCACGGGCAATATTTTGCGTTTCAGTGCATTTCTTCCTCCGTAATAGGGGCACTGGTTCCAGTTCCAACTTGTGGGGCGTTGCTAGACTCAGGAGGTAACGCTTGGCTTACAAAAGGTAGGCTATCATTCTAGCCAGCACGTGCTGGGGAAGGCGGCCGCGCAGACTCCCCTAGGCTGCCTTGTGACGTGACGTAAGGGACCCACCCGGCCAGTGTCCTCCAACATCCCGGACCCTGAATCACCGCCGACGCCCAGAGGCCGCCCTAGGGTGACAGGAAGAGGGGCGGTACCGCCGACGCCCTCCTGCATCCAGCCTGGGGCCTCAGAAAGACCCAGAGACGGCGGCCGAAGCCCCGCCCGTCTGCGCCCGCGGCGAGGCCCCGAAAGGTTCGGAACGTGACCTTGTTTGGGCGTTGCTAGGAGACGCGGCTAGCACGCGCGCGCGCGCGACCCCCGCGGGCAGGCGCGGCGCGAGGGGCGGAGCCGCGGCCCGTAGCAAGGCTGGCGAGCACCGTTAGCCCGGCTGGCGCGCGGCGTCGGCCCGGCCGCCGTCAGGCCTCGCCGCTGTCCGGGGACAGACTCCCCGGCGGCTGACAGCCGCGGAGGCGGGACGACGGAGGACCGTCAGCCAGGTGAGTGGCGCGGGGTCACGTTGGAGAAGAGGCCCGCGGGTGGACGCGGTACTACCGGAGCCGCTCGGTGTCTGGAGGGGCCGGTGCGGCCCAGCGAGCTCCGGCGCACGGCGAGCCGAGGCGTGGTTGGCGGCTCCCGCCGTGTAGGGCTGCGTCACGGTGGCCCGTGCTGCAGGTGCGCGGGGCGGCCGGGCGGCGAAACCTGCGGCTGAGGCTCGGCGCCCTCTGCGATGCCTCGTTTCCCACTTAGGGCAACAGGTGGTGCCTTAGGGCCGAGAGCGAGCCCTTAGTGTGGCCGTCCTGGGAGTGGCAGGCACCCTCGCCAATTAGGGTGCCGGGGCGGGAGTGGCATGGCCGCCCTGACGCGCTGACCAATGGGATCGCGGGGCCTGGGTGGGCCGTGAGGGTGGGCGTGGCCAGAGGCCGAGTCTGGGCTTCCCTGTGGGGCGGCCGCCAGAGCAGCGCGGAGGTCTCGGCTGAGAGGAGCTGTGGCGCGTTCCTCGCGCGGAGAGACACCAGCCAATGTTCCCCCATTGGAATCCGGACTCCAGCCCGGGAGGTGAGAGCCTTTGGTATCGGGGATGGAGCCAGGAAAGTGAGCCTGGGTACTCGATGAGTCGTGCCGGGTTAGATCTCCCAGATAGGGCTGCCTTTTTGAGTTTTCTGCCAAGGAAAGGCACTTTGGTGATGGATACGGTGACGGGATAGTGGTGCCTGGGTTGTCTCCAGAATGAGCTTTTGAGGTCCGGGATCGTAGAGAACAGAGAAGAGTACACGTTACTGCAGTTAGAGTGAATCAAAGCCTTTCGGTGACAGTTATTCATCGTTTGTTTTGGATTGAGTATGTTTACTATCTCATCTGGTCTGTTTACTCACAGCAAGTTTTATTAAGTCCCTCGTGTGGTTATTTTTGGCGAAAGTAGAGAAACCCCATTTTTAATGCGCTCTCAGTAATAACTTACTCATTTCCTCCCCAGCAGTCGTGTAGCTCGATCACCCAGGAAGAGAAATTGTAGCAGATAAGAAGAACGCGTTCATTTTGGGACACCATTTGCAGCTGGAAATGGGGAATGGACTGTCAGACCAGACCTCTATCCTGTCCAGCCTGCCGTCCTTTCAGTCCTTTCACATTGTTATTCTGGGTTTGGACTGTGCTGGAAAGACAACAGTTTTATACAGGCTGCAGTTCAACGAATTTGTAAATACCGTACCTACCAAAGGATTTAACACTGAGAAAATTAAGGTAACCTTGGGCAATTCCAAAACCGTCACTTTTCACTTCTGGGATGTAGGTGGTCAAGAGAAATTAAGACCACTGTGGAAGTCATATACCCGATGCACAGATGGCATCGTGTTTGTGGTGGACTCTGTCGATGTTGAGAGAATGGAAGAAGCCAAAACTGAACTTCATAAAATAACTAGGATATCAGAAAATCAGGGAGTCCCTGTGCTTATAGTTGCTAACAAACAAGACCTGAGGAACTCACTCTCTCTCTCAGAGATTGAGAAGTTGTTAGCAATGAGTGAACTGAGTTCATCGACCCCTTGGCATTTGCAGCCCACCTGTGCAATCATAGGAGATGGGCTAAAGGAAGGACTTGAGAAACTACATGATATGATAATTAAAAGGAGAAAAATGTTGCGGCAACAGAAAAAGAAGAGATGAATGGCAGTACCTTTTATATCGGTGTGGAATAGGTTTTCCTTGGTCTGATTTCTGACAAGCTGAAGAGTGTCTACAGCCTGGTTTGCCTGTCTGCCCTCACGGATGCTATTAAAGCTTTGTTTTGTTGAACAGTCAGATACCCAACTCTGTTGCCTTGTGGAAGATGAGTAAATGCAATGCTTCTTAAAGTGGTCTCTTCTCCCTGACCCACAAATCTTTTGGTACTACCATTTTGGGAAGCCAAAAAAGGCTAGTAATTGACCAGAAAACAATTTTGTGGAAATTTGACCTGAAGTTAGTGAAATAAAACTTTGAAGAGTATATGCCTAGTGTTTTGTGCTTGTATCTTTTGGGGGGAAGCCTTTGCCAAGAAATTGCAAACAAGGCTTTGTAAAACACAAAATGCTAATGAATGGAAATGTTAAGGTAGATCAGTGTGTACATGTTCACACACACTTAAATTGAACACACTGTGATAAGAAGGAAGTATTATTGTTATTTTTGGAGGTTTTGACCAGGTGGTTTTTAATGTTATTCTGGAAACAATTTAATGCTATCTCTTTAATTCTAGAAAATGTTTAATTTAGTTGGTCTAGCATTAATTAAAATATTTGGGGTATATTTAAATGCATGGGTTAGTTTTCCTGACAAGCATGTTTTGGTGTATAGTCTTTAGAAATAGCTATGCATCTGTCTACACAGGTTTAAAACAACTTTTTTGGGTCTTGGAGCTATTGTAGAAATAGTTCATTGTCAGAAGCGCACTGTTACTTGAACCTTAAAAAACGACTGATGTAAATATGGGTATGTTGACTAAATGCATATGCTTGAACACATGAATGGATTTATAGAGAAAGTTGTGGTGAATTCAGTTAGAGGGAATTACTGTAATACATAGTCTCTAAATAATCCAGTTAAAAGATACTTGTTCTATTACTATTTACTGGATGGAAACAGATTTTTTTCATCTATTTTTGTAGCATTTTGGGAGAAATGAAAGCTTTATAATCACCTGATGCGCCATGGAATGAAAATGTAAGGTACCTTTCAATATGTGCTCTGAGCTTTAATCTTTTTGTTAATTGGCTGAACAGTATTCTCAGAGCGTCCTAGCTCTGGCTGTAGAAAGAAATGGTACAGTAGTGCAGATGGGAGTTAGGATCCTAGAAAATGAAGAGGAAGTGTAGCAAAGCCATTGAAGACAATTAACTGGTGCTGTTTCTACTGTCATAAAAACAAAGTGAAATTACAAGGAGGGAAGAACTTTAATTTTTCTCTCCAGGAAGACTTACTTCCAGTAATCACATATAGCAAGTCAGCATGTTTCCTATGTTTGAAGCCAACAGCTGTTTGTTCTGAAATCACCAAAGGAAGTGCATTTTGCTAGCAGGACTTGGTTTGGTTTTGAGCTTTTACATTTTTTTTTTCAGTGACATAGGTGAATTTTTGGAACTTTGATTCTTGTTACAAAATGAAGTAGCACCCAGTGGAGTGTCCATGTCAAATGTACCTGCACTAGGAATGGTTGCCTAGAGTGTTTATATTTATAGAATAGTTACCAATAAACAGCTGGAGGCATTAGGAGAGCAGTCTCACTTTGAGTTTATATGTATTTCCACTTCTGCAGCTTTTAATTAGACGTGCAAGAAGAACTTTTATCAGCTGGGCTATTTAGTTTTATACTAGTTTGGATTTTCCCTGGTGGGGTTTCCACAGAAGACTATTTTCTAGGAGCTCCCTCCCCCCCACACACTTTACTTATACTGAATTCAGGATCCTCTCCCAAATCCCTGAGTCTATGATGGGACACTAAAGCTTGTCTTCCTCAATTCTAAATCAGTGAAAATTTTCACTCTGCCTTCAATCTCAGCACTTGGGAGGCAGATCTCTGAGTTCAAGGACAACCAGGGATACAGAAAGAGACCCTGTCTCAAAACAAAACAGTTTATGCTAACTAGCTCTTGATCTTTGTTTGGTACCTAAGAACTGGATTGGCAAGTCCATGTTATCCTTATTTATAGAACAGCAAAATGGCCATTGCATAAAGTTGTATTCATATGAACCATTTCAGTTAAAAATTTAAGTTCGAATTTTCTATCACCTGTTAGAGCTATTAGTCACATAAGCTAATGAATGAATCTATGTAGGTTTTTAATTTTAAATTAAATACACCCTTTTTCAAAGTCTATTTGTCTTTTTAAAGTGTCAGGGATCAAACCCTGGGCTCCATGTATGTGAAGCAATCATCTTACCAATGAACTACATCTCCAGCACCTAAATGATATTTCTGAAACAGTTAACTGTATGGAGATGAGTTGGTTTATACAAAGTATTAATTGGGTTAAACATTCTAAATTCAAATTACTACTGTAGAGCAAAGTTTTAAAATATCCTTTGATATTTCAAGACTCATATATCCAAACTTATGCTAAAATAGATTATAAATGTTATGGTTTAGCATAGATAAATCCATTAATAACCATAAAATCCTTACAGGAAGCTAAAAAATGCAGTGTTAGGATATGTAGATGGAAATCAATGACTAGTCTGTAGGTAATTGGATGATGGGTGAAGAACAAGAGTAAAGGGTACATAATTTAGAATGTTTTTGTGGGAGTTGGGGTTATGGGTATGATGGGTGCTTGCCTATCAGGTACAAGGCTCTAGGTTTGGGTCCTAGCACTGCAAATGAAAAATAAGCCAATTGCCAGAGTGGTTGGCTTAGAAGAGTATAATTGTTTATAGTGGCCATGAGAGAAATCTGGTATAGTATTTCAGTGTTCTATTTAATGTAATGGTTTCATCATATAGACAATGATTTTTTTTTTTTTTAGCAGTAACAAAACACAGAAATGTTTCTTCAAAATAAATTAATTCAACTTGGAGTCTTGCCTTAGACTGTCATTTGAAGTTCAATTTTTTATTATTGTTTTTCTGAAATAAAGTCTATGTATGTACTTCCTGGGTGCTGCCTGGGGTTATAAGCATGTACTATATCATACTTAGATTAAGATTTTATATTAAAATTTCATTTTTGCAGGACATTCTGGAAATGGATAGTATTAATGTAGAATACTCAAGTTTTTTTTTTTAAAGTTGCTTCCATATGGGCAAATGATACCAAAAACATCACAAATTAAAATACTTGAAGACCAAAGATATTCCCAATAGACTTCAGCCAGAGAATGTTCCAATTTTATGCAAATTCAAAATACTGGGATATTTAAGGAGAGACTAGATTTGGAGAAGAATAATTGTACTACTAAAAACATGAGGTTCAGAGTTGGTGCTAAATCTTGGCATTTTTCTGTCATACATATAACTCTTGGAGCAAATCCTTTGAAACCTGTCAATGTTCCAGTAACATGTAGACTCACAGCTTGAGAAGAGCGAGGGAAATGATGTGTGGAAGGCATTCTTACTGAGTAGGGATTTGTTGGGATGAAGTATGGTATCATTGATTATGGCCACACAAGCCCATACTTGATACTGGAACCTACTTACTAGACTTGTCTTGGTCAGTTTAATATCTGTTTCTTAGTTCCTTCTTTGGTAAGCTGAGGATCATATCTACTGTTGGGGATTGCTTTGTTGAATAAAAGGATTAAATGCTTTGGTAGTTAGGGGACTTGACACACAGTAAACATTGAACACAGTAGTAGAATGTTCCTTGCATATATATTTGAAGAAAAGGCATGGGATAGGAATGATGAGAGCTTACAGTATGAATTTTCTTAGAATCTGTGTGCCATAGCACAAAATGGCAGGATGGTAGGACTTCTGAAAGTATAGATACCCCCAGGTCTTTGAAGTCTCAGTCATTTTTACAGCATTTGGGTATGATAAAAGTCTTAACATTTCCCCAGAAACAAAAGTGAAAGTTTTGGTTATTTTCTAGGTAGTGATAAAATAGTACTTTACTTCACAAAAATTAAAATTCCAAAACGAAGGGTAGATTTTCAAAATGCTTGTTGTTTTTAAATTACTTTGAATTTGGAGGTCTTTCCCACCTCCCATCCCATACTGGAGACCGAAATCAGAGCTTTGCATGCTACCACTGAGCTATCTCCTTACCTTTCTGGTCATGTTTTTAAAATTTTGTTTCTTTTGCTGCAATTGGTTTTACCCATAATGGGCAAGATGGTTTTACAAGTAAACTGGAGGAACAAACAAACAAACAAACACCCCCCCCCCAAATTATTAGCCTGAATAAGCCCTATTTTGGGAGAGGTGGGTCTTTACCCCAGTTTGATAAGGTACAATTAAAGCATTGCTGAAAGTCTGGAGAGATGGCTTATTGGTTAAAAGCACACATTTTCTTGTGGAGGACCAGAGTCCAATTCCCAGCACCCATGCTGGGCAGCTCGTTGCTGCCTGTAAGTCCAGCGCTAGGGATCTGTGGCCTCCTTAGGTATCTGAATTCATGTGCGTCTGCCCTCACACAGACACATAATTAAAAAAAAAAATCTTTAAAGCATTACTGGAACAATTATCTAGAGGATTGTCCCACACAGAGCAGATGTGAATAGACTGTTATGACACTGCCTCTAAATGACTGCAACTGGTCTAACACAGTGATGGACTGGAAGCATTATTAGCTAGGAACCTGTTGGAAGAAGCACACAACCTCAGCCTCCACTCCATACCTAGGAATGTGAAACTCTAGGGTTGGGCCCCAGCAGTCTTGGTGCTTACAACATCCAGGTGATTCTGGTACTCATTAAAGTTAACCATTACATTAACATAAAATCCAGTTGTTACAGAATGTTACAGAAAGTGAGACAGAGGAGATGATTCTGGTAGAGTGTGTGTTTGAGGACTTTCATTTAGTCTCCAGTACTGGAAAGAAAATTGAAAATAACTTTGTAATCCAAAAACAATTGTTTAATACTATATAATTTAGACCTTTTTGTTTTGTTTTGTTTTGAAGACAGTGTCTTACTCAGTTGCCTGAGCTGGACTGAAATACACTATGTAGCCCAGGCTGGTCTTGAACTCTCAATCTTGTCTCACCTTACTGAGTCCTAGGATTCCAGGCATGAGCCTCTACAGACCTTTTAAAAAGTATTTTTATAGAAGCACAGTGCTTGCCTTTATTTTATTTATTTCTGTGTTAGTTCAGAGTGGTTTTGAACCCAGGTGATCCTCCTGCCTCAGCCTTCTGAGTTCTAGATTAAAGACGTGAGTTACCATCCTGACTATACAGCGGTTGCTTTATAATAAGCACTTGGCAAAATCTTGAGTGAATTTTCATCAATGCCAATTATTTTGTTAAGTGTCAAATCCTATAAATTAATTTTTATCCATACATATAAGAGAAGGA